TTATTTTTTCTTTTTTTTTTTTTTTTTGTTTTATTTATTTCTTTTATTTCAGACACCCGTGATGTAGAATCACCCCTTCACGTTGCTCGCAAGGGGTTCATTAACACGAGACGACATCGAGAAACCGCGAGGAAAATGAATGATCGAACGAAAAGTTCGAAGTCTGAAGTCTTTGGGAGGAAGTCCCGAGTTACTAGAAAAAATTCTCTTTTTCTTTTTTTTTTTTTTTTAACAAAACGAGCCTTTTCTTTTTACTGCTTCTTTCATTCTTTGTTCTTTTGGCATACACGATCACGCGCATTACGCAACTGTGATGTCGGATAAGTTTGGTATGTAATTTAGAATTATATGTAGCTATTATACATTATTAAAAATATGTACAAAATCTGTGTGTGTGTGTGTCTGTGGCGTGTGCCAGATGTACGGAAATGTTCAGTTCCATTCTCAACAGTTAATACACGTGTTACTTGTGTGTTTGAAATGTTGCTTAACAAAATGACGCGTGTTAAATGCCTCGAGTGTAATAAAATACTCGTCTATGTGTGTGTACATGTATTTATGTATTCGTGTAGATAGGTATATGCGATGCGTTCAAAGCACGGATCAGTCGATGCAACAAAGACTGACGGATGATCGGGGATACACTGAAATCGAAATATAAAAAACAGACTTTCATTCGAGGCTTCCTCCGTATCGTCAGAGAAACGTCTGAATCTCCTTGCAATAATATCAAAAATCTAAAACGATCGAGTATCGCGGCCAGAGAAGCCGGCAAGAGACCGACGAACGTGTGTACAGAGAGCATATGCGTTTTACAATATGTATACAGTACTCGAAAATCCTCGACGAGCCGCGAGTTTCGTCGATTCCATAGTTTACCAGTCAATGGAAAATGTCTCGCTACTGAAAAAACATACCGTAGTCGTTAATAAGTACGTGCAGCCGTCGATAACGTCGATTAGTTGCGTTTCTTTTTTTTTTTTTTTCTTTGTTTTTTCATTTTGTTTCGCTTAATCTTAGTACCCCATCCTTAAGTGGCTATTCTCAATGAACCGTAGATGTGACCCTAATTAATATTGCACGCGCCGGCACACCGGGGGCTGCTAAATGTCGTTTACCTCAGCCGTCAGATAGTCGCCCCCATTTTTTCATTATTATTATTATTATTATTATTTTTTTTCCTTTTATTTATTTAACTTTACTTCACGTACGAACTTAATTATGCGTATTATGCGTATTCGCGGAACGATCCATCCGAGACCCTGAGGGATCCACTATTTTCACTATGGGACGGGTCGTCGACGCGATATTTACTCTTGTTTTCGCGAAAACAGAAAGGAATGTGTAACAAAGGTGTCCATCTCGTCGAGCCCCGACGACTCACCGAACGAACTTTTATACCAACCGCCTCGTCCTTTGGAACGAGGCCGATTTACTCACAGTGCACTTGAATCGTATCGTTCGTTTCGCTTCGTTTCGCCATCCTTTCCATTCGATTATCCTACGTGTATCCTTTCTCGTGCTCGATCTGCCTGCTCTTCGATCAACGACACGCAAACCGCGCAAGTTTCCTAACTCCCTCTTCCACACTTCTTCTCATTTTAATATCCGATATTAATATCAACTATACTTAAAGATCTAAGCTCGTATTATTATCGTTAAGTCGGATGTACCATTTAATCGAATATTACGTTCGACTGTTAATGCGTCGAGCTGTACTTTTCGGTGCTCAGTGTTGCTGAAAAAGTTCAGTATTATTGAGCCGAAAAATCGTTCTTCGTTTTTCTTTTTTTTTTTTTTTTTTTTTT